CCTCTCTAGGATGAATCTGTTTTCTTGGCAGTCCAGGGTACATTCAATACTCTTCTCCAGCACCACAGCTCAAAGGCATCAATTCTCCTTCTGTCCTCCCTAGTCATTGTCCAACTCTCTGATGCATAACAAGCGATTGCAAAGACCATGGCCTGTATCAGGAGCACCTTAGACATTTTTTGAAATCTAAACAGGCCTTGTGCTTGCATTTTTTAGTCTATGAAAAATATTTTAATTCTTAACATGTCATAAGAACAAGTTTTATCTTCTTCCTTTTGAGGACAGTAAGGCTTAACTCATTTGCTCTTAACATCACTCACAGCAAATAGTGAAGAATTGGTCTGTCACTCATTTTTTTCATATGGCCTATTACTAAGAAGCTGCACTGCAATCCTAAAGCCTTGCATTTCAAATCCATTAGCTGCTCCATAGCAGAAGGATGGGCACTCACTTCTTGTGCAATTTACTGACTATGAAAACTTGCTAGAGGGTCAGCTATGAGTCGGTTCCAACACCATCACCACCACTACCCCACTGTTCAAGTATTCTTTGCCTTGCTTATATATTCTCCTCAAGTTAATAGGACTGGAGGAAGAAGGTGGTTGTTGATGTTAAGTGCCAGCAAGTCAAGTACAACTCACAGCAAGCCTATGAACCGATTTGAACCCTGTCCTGTCCTATCCTCATACCAAGCTCATCATCTCTGACACATCTGAGTCCATTCACTGTGTCAATCAATCCATCTTGTCAAGGACCTTCCTCTCTTTCACTGATCCTCCATCTTTCTAAGCATGATGTCTCACTTCAAGGAATATCCTCTACCAGCAACATGTCCAAAGTACGTGAGATGAAGATTTGTCATTCGTACCTCCACGGAGCATTCTGGCTGCACTCTTTCTGTACCATTATCTGGTCTTTCCGTAGTCCACAGAACATTCAGTAGTATTCTCCACCATAGCTCTAAGGCATCAATTCTTCTGTCATTCTTATTTACTGTTCAGCTCTCAGGTGCACAAGTGACTAAAAAGACCAAGGCCTTAAAATTTCAAAGTCCTAATGTATTTAGATATTTATACAAAAATATCTTTCAAATACATATCTTGACTAGTTTTGTCTAACGTTAACAAAAAGCATCCTATATGCAAAGTACAAAATAACTCTTACTGTTGCTGTTGTTTCAGAGGCCAGTGAATTGGCCCCTTACATTTCCAACTGATGCCCAACAGAATGAGGCACTGCTGGTCCAGTGTGATGTATCTGATTGGTTTGGAATCACATTTTTTCAATGTATAGGGTTTTCTTTGCTTTTGACAAGTAGATCACCAGGCTTTATTTAGTTCTAAGAACTCAAGAAGTTCTGCTGAAATAGCATCATAACACACATAAGTCTCCACTGAAAGTTAGGATGTGGCTGCACCTGAGGTACTATGGCTAGGTACTGAACTCAAGATTCTACATGGAAGACAAGAATTCTACCACTGACCCAGTAGAACCATGGGGAGAACTACTGAAATTCCATATTATAAGAGGATGCTCCTCTCAAAATCAAATCTTAGTCGGAATGAAGGTTGCAGAGTGGAGTATACTTAGGGTGGGAATGGTGGGGTGCGGGGTGAGATTGTATACCAATGAAGGAATTATTTTTTACTTTTCAAAGAGAAGAGTGAACTGGGGGTAGGGGTGGGGTGGGCGAGGAGGAAAGTGCAACAATGAATGAACAGAAATCCAAAATCTCTATAAATGTTCATTGAAATTAATAAAAAAAATCAAATCTTATTTTTTCTAAGGCATGGTCTTTGCAATCATTTGCTATGCATTAGAAAGCTGGACAATGACTAGGGATGACAGAAGGAGAATTGATGCCTTTAGCTGTGGTGTTGGAGAAGAGTATTGAATATACCATGGATGGCTAGGAGAACAAACAAGTTCATCCTGGAGAGGGTGAAGCCAGGCTGCTCCTTGGAGGCAAAGACTCTGAAGCTTCGTCTGAAATACTTTGGACATGTTTCAAGGAGGGACCAGTCCTTGGAGAGTTAAGTCATGCTTGGGAGGGTGGAGGGACAGTGCAGGAGAGGAAGACTCTCAATGAGATGGATTGATTCAGTGACTGGGGTAATGGGAGTAATGTGTCAGAGACAGTGAGATTGGCACAGGATAGGGCAGGGTTTAAGGCTGTTCTACATAGGGTCGCTATGAGTCGCAGGCGACTCAACAGCATATAACAACAACAAGGCATTATAAATAAATAAAATATTTGAGTAGAATAAATTCTGACTCAGTGACCCTCCACTGAGTTTCTGAGGTGAAGAAGTGATGCCTTTGAATTGTGATGCTGGAGAAGAGTACTGAACATACTATGAACAGTCCAAAGAACAAACAACTCGTCTTTGAGAGGGTGAAACCATGATTCTCCTTGAAGGCAATGATTTTAAAGCTCTCGCTCAAATATTTGAGTACATGGCCAGGAGGGACTAGTCCTAGGAGAAGGACATCATGCTCGGAAGGGTAGAGCAACAACGTGGGAGTGGAAGACCCTGGATGAGATGGACTAATGCTGTAACTGGGGCAATAGGGATAGGTGTGTCAGAGTCAGTGAGACTGGCTCAGGCTAGGGCAGGATTCTGAGCTATTATTGTACATAGGGTCACTATGAATCAAAGTCAACTTGATGGCACATAACAACAACAACAACTACTCTTTACTAGAGGAGACTGTCTGTCTTTTTCCTGTGGAGAAACTGGTGGATCTGAGCCACTGACCCTTTGGTTAGCAGTACAATATTTAATACACCATGCTATCAAGAGTTGCTTTTCTTAAGGAACAGAAACACCAAATGGAGAATTCCTTCCTTTAGTAATAAAACTCTTTTCCTTCACAAATACAAATGCAAAAAAATTCTGGCAAAATGATGGTACAAGAATCACTTTTTTAAAGACTTACTTCAATATCCCTGCAGCTTTCATTTCAAATCCACTTTATACTCCACAATGGAAACAGGATTCCACTGCAGTTCTCAGAAAGCAAAACTGAAGCTCAAAGGCCCTGCAAAGGTGTTTCTGAAGCTATAACCACTGACGACTAAAAGATGCTTTGACCTTCTCTCAGTCATAGCCTGGAAACCTGAGAAAGAGTCACTCTAAAGTTAGACTCAACTCAGTAGTAGTGGGTATCATATAAAAGAAAAGGTGTTCTGGTGGCATAGTCGAAAGCATGCTGCACTGTTAGCCAAAAGGCCACATGTGTCTCTGGCAGTTCAAATCTAAAGGCGGCTCTGTAGAAGAAAGCACAGTATCTTCCCATTAAGATACACCACTTTGGAAACCCAGTAAAGGTTTAGAACCAACTTGATAGCACTGAGTTTGAGTTTGGTCATGTAAAGGTAATGTATGACTCATTATCTTAAAATGCATTTTCCAGAAATATAATAAAAGTTATTACGTGGACCAAATTACCTGAAGATATGCTTTTAATTGGAAGAGTTCTGGGTTTGGGTTTCACTTTCATTGTTTCAGTTTCATTTTCTTGATCTTGATTCTGAGGCTCAGGTAGAGAATTTATAACCGTATCTTCACAACCATCAGCTTCAGCCTCATCATTTTTGATGGAAGACACTAGCTCATCTTTGATTATGTCACTGGTTGATTTCTGGATTTTCAAAAAAGATCTTTTTGAAGAATTCTTTACTTCATCATCTGATAAATGAAAATCATTCATCTTCTTCTTTACTGAATTTTCATCCACCGAAGTATCAGAAAATTCACCTAAGGAAACTAAAAAGCATAAAAGAACATGGATTCATCATGAACCGGGAGCCACATGGATTGCAGGTAACAACAGCAACAATGATAAAGTTACTTTAACCAAAACAAATGACAGCCTTTAAGACCAGCAATGAGTGACAAGGGTGAAGAAGTACGAATCTATTTTAGAAATTGATTTATAGCTCTAGAAAACAACTGACTTAGGAAAATTTTAATAGCATTAATGAAATAAAAATTTCAGTGTTATCAATATATTAAAAACTATTTCGTGCCTAAACATAGGCCTGGTGGCACAGTGGGCTAAGCTTTAGCCTGCTAATGAAAAGTCTCCAGTTAAAATTAACTATCCAAGGGATGGTGATGAGGCAATCTGCTTCCATAAATCTTTACTGTTGTTGCTGCTGTTAGGTGCTTTTGAGTCAAGTGTGATTCGTACTGACCCCATGAACAACTGTTCTGAACCCAGACCTATCCTGTGCCGTCCTCACACTTCCTGACACACTAGAGCCCACTGTGGCAGTCACTGGGTCAATCTACCTGGTGAGGGTCCTCTTCTCCTTCACTGATCCTCTATCTTTCTGAGCATCAGGTTTCTCACTAACAGCCCCTGCTAGCAATATGTGTGAAGTGTGTGAGGTGAAGCCTTATCATCCTTGCCTCCGAAGAGCACTGTGGCCGCACTCTCCGCAAGACATATTTGTTTATTCTTTTGGCAGTCCCTGGGATGTTGAGTGCTCTTCTCCAAACTCAGCTCAAAGGCATGCTGGAAAAGAGTCTTGAACATACCATGGAACACCAAGAAAATAAATAGTTCTGTCTGTAAAGTTTCCAAGTTTCTCTTTGGAGGCTTTGATTCTGAAGCTCAATCTTACATACTTTGGGTGTGTGGCCAGGAGGTACCAATCATTGGCGAAGGACATCATGCTCAGAAGGGAAGAGGGGCAGTGCAGGAGGGAAAGACCCCAGATGTGATGGATCAATACAGTGACTAGGGCTGTGGGGTGTGTCAGAGTCAGTAAGACTGGTTCAGGACCAGGCTTGAGAGCTATACATAGGGTCGCTATGAGTCGCAGGCAACTCAATGGCTCATAGCAACAACAAAAACAACAACATCCTTATTCATTGTCCAACTCTCAGATGCATAGCAACTGATTGGAAAGACCATGGCCTGAATTAGACTTACCTTAGTCCTAAAATTGACATTATTACGTCCCAATAATTTGAAGAGGTCCCTAACTGCAGACTTTCCCACTGCAATATGTCTCATGATACCCTGACTGCTGGTACCAAGGGTGTTAATTGTGGATCCAAGTAAAATGAAGCTGTTGAAATTCGGTCTTTAATCCACCATCATGATGTTCCCATAAATACTTACAGCCTTGAAAAGTCTATGAGGCAAATCTATTCCATTCTACAGGGTTGCTGAGTCAACTTGACAGCAGTGGGTTTGGTTGTTCTTGTCTGGTCTAAATAACATCAAGGATTTTGATGGTTACAGGAAAATTTTTTTACCTAAGTGTTATCAAACAATCAGCCATGTGACACTTAAATTATACATTAAATTTTATAATTTCCATTTGCTGTATAGCTTAGGCACATAAATTAAACATGTCCACAAGGGAAATTTCCTCATCCTTCTATAAGGAAAAATTTTAATTAGTAACTTGTTTAAAAAAAAAACCAAAAAAATCAAATCCTCTGCTGCTGCTTAGCTTCCAACTCACAGCAACCATACAAGATAGACTAGAATTGCTTGAGAAGATCTCCAAGGCTGTAAATCTTTATACAAGCAGTGTGCCACATCTTTCTCCAAGCAACTGTGGGCTCCAAATGCTGACTTTTCTACTAGCAGCAGAGGAAATTATTGTACCAGGACTCTTAAGACTAAACTCATTGCTGCCGAGACAATTCTAACTCAAAACGACTTTATAGGGTTTCCAAGGTTATACATCTTTATGGAATTAAATGTAACATCTTCCTCTTACAGAACAACTGGATGGCTCCAACTACCAAACTTATGGTTAGTAGCTAACCACTTTAACCACTGTACCACCAAGGTTCCTAGTAACTTAATAATTATCTAATTTTTATTATCATATACACACACACTCTTAAAATTAACTAATGAGAGACAAAGGAGTCCTTACAAATTGAGAGTGACTTTCTGCTGTTAAAGAGATGGAAACTGTAAACTTTTGAAGCTGTCAGTATTAGTTTAAGTGATTTCCTTTTTTATTTTTTGATAGTCCATTGCCATGGGAAAGTCTGCTGTTAGGGACCTCTCCAAAGTACTGAAGAGCAATGGTGTCTCTCTGGAGACTAAGGTGTGTCTGATACAGGCTATGGTCTTCGCAATCACTTGTTATGCATCAGAGAGTTGGACAGTGGCCAAGGAGGATAGAAGGAGAATTGATGCCTTTGAGCTGTGGTGCTGGAGAAGAGCATTCAGAATACCATGGACTGCTAGGAAAACAAACAGATTTGTCCAGAGTTAAATCGGGTGGCTCCTTGGAGGCAAAGATTCTGAGGCTCCGTCTAACATACTTTGGACATGTTGTGAGGAGAGACCGGTCCTTGGAGAAGGACATCATGCTTGGGAGGGTGGAGGGACAGTGCAGGAGAGGAAGGCCCTCTATGAGGTGCATTGATTCAGTGACTGGGATAATTGGGATGGGAGTGTCAGAGACAGTGTGATTGGCACAGGACAGAGCGGAGTTTAGGGCTGTTGTACATAGGGTCGCTATGAGTCGCAAGCGACTAGACGGCACATAACAACAACAACAACAACAACAAATGTAATAAAGGAAAAGAGGAAAAGTGGTTTACTTTTCCATATTCTCACATACCAATCTCATCACTTTCAAAGTCATCAGAGTATTCAGAGCTCCGTTGTCTGGCTGAGCGAGCTGTAATTGCTTTTATTAGTTCATCCTGAAATGAGATAATCAAAATCAAGCCCCATCCAAATTTGGAGGTTTCATATTCAGAAGTCATTATCTGAACACTAATGTAACATAAAAATAATGATTAATTAGTAACTGCCTTCAAAAACTTAGGGTTAATTCATCAAACAAATGTTCCCTGAAAACCTATTTGACCCAAATCATCAAAATCAATGTAGGACATGACAGGTATGATCTCCACCCTGGTCAAGCTTATCATTAAGTAGGAGGTAAAACACTGTATCAAATAATCACTAGTTATACAGGCATAATTAGAAGCAGAGACTTATAATATAAGCAGCCTTCAATTAAAACAGAATTTACTATAAATACATTGTGAAAGACACCGGCACTTTAAGAGTTTCTCTTTCTATAAACTGCAAAAAAAGATATAATACTGCAAATTGAAAGTTATTTCAAAACAGTGATTAATAATTCCAAAAGAGAAATTTTGGATGTTATAGTGTAGTCTCCTACTTTTTAATATGTATATAACATCTAACCCAGTGTTAAAGACATACATGAACATTTGTAGTAATGGAACCCAAGCACCTCATCTACAAAATCTTACCATGCAATCAGTAAGACGTAAAACTTTAGCTTTATATTTCCACTATTATTACTAGGATGATTTCCAGTTCATAACTCCTATCAGTGATTAAATGGCAAAATCACTGAGAAGTAAGAGTGCTTCAAAATATTTTACCTGGAAAGAAGTTCTTTTGGTGGCTCTTGGACTCTTTGTATAGGCCAAGGTGGTACTGAAAACTTCATCAGACATAGTGTAATCCTATGTTTTACTCTTTACATATATACAATTATAATAAATGGTTCAAATAATTCAACATTTGATGGTAACTGAAATACACAAAAGACAAATGAGTCATTCTTTACATGCTTGTGAAATTATACTGGGCCATTCTAAGCTACCTTTGCCAAAGTCAAATAAAGAAAAGCATTTCATATAAATAACAAGCAATATATTCACTTAAAATAAAAAAAACACACTTGTAAAGAAATGTCAAGATCTCAAAATGGGCTTGTTTCAAAAAAATTCTAAATTAAAGTTATTTTCTTTTTTTAATTTGTATTTTTACTTGTGTGTGTGTGTGTGTGTGTGTGTACCGTTAATTCAGATATGACTGGTACAGAAGGAGATTGTCCCTCCTTCTTCAGCAAAGCATCTATCTGGTAGATTTGAACCACTCACCTCTGAGATTGCAGTGCAGCTTCTTGCCACTAGGCAATGAGAGCTCACCTAAGTGAATGTTATTCTAAAAGAGTTCTGCAACTAGTTTAAGGATGTGTAAATAAATTTAACAGAGTAGTACACCACCTTGTTGGCAATAGATCTAGAACTGATTATTTTTCATTTGAAAAATACAACTGAAAAAAAAATCAGCAGTATGCCTATAAAACAGCTATTATTTACTTTAACGTACTGGTGATAAAGTACTGGGATTAGTGCTACATACAAGCAGTATTTTTCCTTGTGCTCCTTAGTTATGGTTTATACTGTCGACCCTTCTGGTAGTCTTTAAAATACTTTACCTGAAAAGTAGAAAGCAGTTCTTTTGGAAGCAAGTATGTACTCCGGGTGTGTATGTAAATATATATGTGTCTGTTGTTGTTATGTGCCATCAAATCCCCTGTGACTCATTGCGACCCTACGTACAACAGCTCTGAACCTTGCTCTATCCTGAGCCAACTTTTGTCTCTGACACACCTACTCCCATTACCCCAGTAACGTGTGTGTATATCTAGATATCTAGATATGTGTGTGTGTGTATGCGTGTGTAAGTCAGAATTAGTGAGACTGGCTCAGGACAGGGAAGGGTTCAGAGCTGCTGTACAAGGAAGGGTCCCTATGGGTCGCAAATGACTTGACAGCACACAACAATATATATATTTGTAGGTGGATATATATCTGTGTATATATTTGTGTGTACACATATTTGTGTGTATATATCTGTATACCTAGACCTATATATCGTATTATCAAATTACATTCTTTACTTTTTCCCCCAAGCTATTCTTCTGCTAGCAGAAGTGTAAAGCTTTGTAACACATAACAGAGCATCGCATGGGTCTGCTCTAAGACTGTGCGCAGAGGTGCCACCAGCGTTTCAGCAGCCCGCCGCAGAGGCCCGGGCCTCGCCGCGGCCACCCGACCATCCGCAGTCCCGCCGACCGCGCCCGCCCCAGCCCGGCCCGGCCAGGTGACGTCCGCGTCCCCGCCCGCGTCCCCGCGCGCCCGAGCACACACCAGGCCCGCACACCCTCAAGCGCGTCTCCGGCCCCGCTCCTTAGCAACACCTCAAGTCCGGCGTACCGCACCCACTTCCGCCACTCCCGTGACAGGCTCCCCAAGGCCCTGAGGACAGAACCGCTGACCAGCAGCACGGTCCGAGCCTCTCACCTGAGCTTCCGCCAGGCGGACCTGCCAGACGCGGCAGGGAACTGAGAAAGGGGCGGGACTAAGAACGGAGGTGGGAAGCGGTTGCCTAGGAAACAGCGTCTAGGAGAGGAAATGACTTCTCCACTGCTGGGGGCTCACGGGTACCCAACACCATTGTTTTATGTCCAGACGCGTCGCTGGGGTAACCATCCTAATAAAGGAAGTGACATCATCCTTCTGGGTCCTGGGAGAGGGATGTGTGCTCTCTTTAGCTTGTGTTTTGACAGTTGCAATGAAAGCAGGACGGTTCTCACTCATTCCAAGAACCTCACCTTTGTCAATGAAATGAAGAGTTTTATTTGCAGATGTGGAATGAGCCCAAGAATGTATGGTTTTGGTCACTTTTAGGGCATGAAGCTATCGGACTTGGAGTTAAAGTGTTAATAAATGGGATCTTTGCAGGCCCAGAGAATCAAACTTAATTTTAACCCAGTAGCTCTTTTAACGATTGTGATGTAGCAGCTGTACTTATATCAGAATATGGGAGTTAATATTACTAACCACCTTGAGGAGTTGTCATGAGGCTAATATCCATGAGGCTTTAATGTAACAATGCAAGTGAAATATTTGGGGAAATGTGTGGAAATGCATCCAGTAAATATTAGATAGGCTCTTCTGCAGTTCAAACACAATGGCCCAGGACAGATGTCATCCTTGATCAACACAGTTGAAAACCTCTTTTATCTTTTTGTTCACTTAAAAATTTTTCTCTTTTCCTAATAGATAATCTGGCTAAGAGCAAACCAGTCAACAAACAAAATAACCTACAAACAACACAGCCTGTTTAGTAGGTAGTTACTAAAATCAGCCACAATAAATAAAAATCAAAATCAGTGCATTAATACAAACAACCCTTAAAAGCAGTCAAAGGGACTTGAATTTATCTTTTTTTTTTTTTTCTAAATCGTCATTGAATTGTATGAATTATTTTTCTGGCTAGTATTTAAACAACCTGGTATTTTTTCAATATTATCTAAATTTTATTATATCTTTAGTCAAGTATTTATAACAAATCACATTAAGAGACCAATATAATAATTCAATTTATTGAAAATGGGTAATGTCTAAAAAAAGTTCAAATTTCATTTTTTAAAGCTATAATTTCACATATAATGAAATTTTAGAAATTTTACATACCTTACACCGTTAAACTATTGTTTTGGGAATCTCAGTTTTGCCACCATATGCTTATTTTTTATGTTTTCAAGAATTTTTTTTTTGTGAGTCTCTATATACAATATTTTTACCTTTTTCAGTTACTATTAATGTATTTAAGTCCTGTGCATTTTTAAGCAACATATATCATTCACCACATTATCTGTGCCTACAGTAAGGATGCAACCTTACACATTTTCCTTATAGTTAAAGTACTAATTTGATCATGTTAAAAAGCTCTACTTTTTTAGAGTTTGGGTTTTTTTCTTATGCACTTGATTAATATAGTCTTCATTTAGAAATGGTTTGTTGTTGTTATTGTTATGTGCCAGAAATGGTTTACAGAGGTAAAATTCACAGAAGCCAATAATGAAAAAAGACTTTAAAATTCTGCCATTTCAATTTAGTGCAAAATATCAAGGTATGTCTTCCAAAACCTCAGCAAACAAAGACAATTAACATAAAGTGGTTAAGTTTTTCAAATGACTTGAAGTTATTGTGATAACATTCTCCTATATTAAACAGCAAGATCTATATTTTTTTCAAACAGTTTCAGTAAAATTTGTTTGTGATAACATCATTTAAGACCGTAATTGATAGTATAATTTTTAAAGTTTTGTGTGTAATATTTGGAAGCAGGAGAGGCATCCACTTCCAAAATGGCTTGCTTCTGGAAACTCTATGTCGGAACAGTGCTCAGGCTGTTCGTTCATAGGGTCGCTATGAGTCGTCTACGACTCGACGGCATTAAACAACAACAAACAAAATGTGTAATATTATAATATGTTATGTCTTATTTTGTTCTTAAGACTGTACACAGCAAACCAGAAACCAATTTCAATGTTCTGGTGTCTTAATTGCACTCAAGAACCTGCACTGCAATCCCAAAGTCACAGGGTTCAAATGCACCAGCTGCTCCACAGGAAAAGGATGGGCAATCTTCGTGTGCAATTCACTGCCTCTGAAAACCGGCTGGAGGGTCAGCTGTGGGTGGGTTATGACATGATAGCAGACAACAACAAAAACATTGACTGCATTCTTCAAATTGTACAACCATTCTCACCAAGGTTTTCTGAATTGCTCCTCTATCTAAACACAAGACCACTGCACCCCCACTTCCCCCATACCAAGTTCCTGTCTAATCTTCCAAGATGCTGTTGTCAAATTCACTCTATATAGATTTTATAAAAACCTAATGCTCAAGGTTGTTGTTGTTAGTTGTTATGTGCCGTCGAGTCGTTTGCGACTCATTGCGACCCTATGCACAACAGCCCTAAACCCTGCTCTGTCCTGTGCCAACCGCACCGCCTCTGACACACCCATCCTGATTACCCCAGTCACCGAATCAATCCATCTCATAGAGGGTCTTCCCCTCCTGCGCTGTCCCTCCACCCTCCCAAGCATGATGTCCCTCTCCAAGGACCCGTCCCTCCTGGCAACATGTCCAAAGTATGTCAGACGAAGCCCCAGAATCCTTGCCTCCAAGGAGTAGCTTGGTTTAATCCTCTCCAAGATGAATCTGTTTGTTTTCCTGGCAGTCCATGGTACATTCAGTCCCCTTCTCAAGCACCACAGCTCAAAAGCATCCACTCTCCTTCTGTCCTCCCTAGTCATTGTCCAACTCTATGATGCATAACAAGCGATTGCAAACACCATGGCCTGCATCAGGCGCACTTTAGTCTCCAGAGAGACACTGTTGCTCCTGAGTACTTTAGAGAGGTCCTTAACAGCAGACTTTCCCATCGCAATATGTTTTTTTATTTCCTGGCTACTGGTGCCAAGAGTGTTAACCGTGGAGCCAAGCAAACTGAAGCTGTGAACAATCTCAATCTCTTCACCATCCATCCTGATGCTACCAATTGGTCCAGTGGTGAGAATTTTTGTCTTCTTGACATTGAGCCTCAATCCATATTGAAGGCAGCAGTCCTTGACCCTCTGCAGTAAGTGCATGAGGTCCTCCTCAGTTTCAGCGAGCAAGGTTGTGTTATCTGCATAACGCAGATTGTTAATAGATCTTCCACCAATCCTGATGCCACAATTCTCCTCATAGAGCCCAGCCTCTCGGATAATCTGCTCTGCATACATGTTGAAAAGCATTCTGTTAAGAATGCTCAAGGTGGACTTTATTTCATAACCTAAACTGCTATGTAAGTTTCAGAAGACTATTT